TTTAGCGCATGTAAAAGAGATTATGTTCTGAAAAGACATTTTGAAAAGAAATTAAAATGATTAAAACTAAATATATTTCCTTTTCAGTTTCCCCTAAAATGAAAGAGACACAACTGAACATTTTGAATAAAATGTATACAACCAATGAATTCCTAAAACTAAAATTCAAATTTGAGACAGGTAAAAGTTTATTTTATTTTATTTATTTTATTTTGTGATATATTTTATTTTACTTTACTTTATTTTTTTATTTTATTTATTTTGTTATTTTACTTTACTTTATTATTATTTATTTATTTATTTTTATTTATTTTATATATTTCTTTATTTATTTTACTTTACTTTATTTTTTTATTTTATTTCTTTTTTTTTTTTTACTTTACTTTATTTTACTTTATTTTTTTATTTTATTAATTTATTTTTATTAATTTAATTTTAATTTACTTAATGTTTTAATTTTATTGTATTTTGTGTATTAATAGATGCTAAAATAATGTGTCGATAAATTTAAAATCAGTCAAACTCGGCTCAGGTCAGAGTCATGAGGCTCTGAAAACAGAAGGAAGAGACTCTGGACGTCTGAAAACTGTTTACAATGAACTGTTCTGTTTTATGTGAAATCAGTCGCCCTCCCCCATGATCCGTCTCAGATTTTGACTGAAAAATTTTCAAAAAATTTCTAAAATCATCAAATGAAAGAATCTCACATTTTCGCTCAGTCCCTTGAGTCGTTCCTGAGTTTTGTCCCGTTGAAATTTTGGGGCCATGTTTACTTTTTCAGAAACTTTCATTTATAATCATTTTTGAGAAACCAGAACTTCATAAAAATCGAGCGAAGAAACTGAACATTTGTTTTATTGTAGATTCTGGGTCATAGATTCTGAATCTGTTGTTAAATACTGAGTGTCTTTATTAAGTTAAATTTAATCTCACATTTGGTTGCCGATCAATTTATTTGTTCAGTTTTTGAGGTACAAGATCTATTTACTCCAAGCAAATATTTACAAATTAACTGAACCTGAATATTTGACAGAATGAACATTTCTGACACAAATCTCACACTTTTCTGACTTTTCATGAGGCTGGTGTCGAGTCTCACAGATGTTCACAGACAGTGTCTGAGAGTAACAGATTACATGTACTGGAGTAATCAGAGTACAAATGATAAGTAACTGTATTCAGTTACAGTTACTGTTTCAGTGAGTGATAAATGATTACACCCCCCCCCCCCCCGGTAATTCCACTCATTGACGGACACTAAACCAGGTCTAAACTAGAACTAAACCAGGTCTAAACTAGAACTAAACCAGGTCTAAACTAGGACTAAACCAGGTCTAAACTAGAACTAAACCAGGTCTAAACTAGGACTAAACTAGGACTAAACCATGTCTTAAACCAGGACTAAACCAGGACTAAACCAGGTCTAAACTAGAACTAAACCAGGTCTAAACTAGAACTAAACTAGGACTAAACCAGGTCTTAAACCGGGACTAAAACCAGGACTAAACCAGGTCTAAACTAGAACTAAACCAGGTCTAAACTAGAACTAAAGTAGAACTAAACCAGGTCTAAAACCAGGACTAAACCAGGACTAAACTAGGTCTAAACCAGGTCTAAACCAGGTCTAAAACCAGGACTAAACCAGGACTAAACTTGGTCTAAACCAGGTCTAAAACCAAGTGTAAACCAGGTCTAAATAGAATAAACCAGGACTAAACCAGGACTAAATCCTGCTGTGTGGACGTGTTTCTTCTTCTTCTATCAATAATATTTTTAATTTGGTTCAGTAAAGTTTGGACTTTTTATTTTCTTTTAGCAACAAAACTTCTTATGTGAAGATTTCCTCGTCTTTGTTTCTTTACTCACTTTAAGTAATTTAATGGATTCTGTTACAAACTACATTTTGGTGTGTGTAATCTGTAATCTGTAGGGGATTACATTTTAAAAGTCGATTTCCCAACACTGTTCACAGAGCAGGTTTGATGTTTTTGGCTCCTTCTTTGGCCCCTCGGTTCCTCATGTGACACAGAGACGTGGAGCCGATTTTGACCAGAGAAACTTTGTCAGATTCTGATGAGTTTAAAGTCATGAAAACATCGACTGTGAACTTCCTTCATTTCAAACGGAATTTCTGGACCTCAAAAAAGTCAACCAAAAGTTCCACAGCCACACGCTTTAATAAAGACACACAATATTTAACAACAGATTCAGAATCTATGACCCAGAATCTACAATAAAACAAATGTTCAGTTTCTTCGCTCGATTTTTATGAAGTTCTGGTTTCTCAAAAATGATTATAAATGAAAGTTTCTGAAAAAGTAAACATGGCCCCAAAATTTCAACGGGACAAAACTCAGGAACGACTCAAGGGACTGAGAGAAAATGTGAGATTCTTTCATTTGGTGATTTTAGAAATGTTTAGAATTTTTTTCAGCCATATCTGAGACGGATCATGGGGGAGATTCATTGAAAACGGCTGATTTCATACAGACTGACCTGTTTTTAAGACAGACCAAACATTAATTAAGATGATTTTGTAACTGAGCTTCTTCTTTTCTTCCAAAGTTCAGTGTCACTTCACTTCAGAATCAAAAAATCCAAACAGTGACTCGTTCATTTCACTCGTAGCATTTTGTTTTATTGATTTATTTTTGTTACAACATTGATCGTTCAGAGTCCACGAGGAGTTTTTGGTGCTAAACAAGAAAAAAAACAACACACTGACATAATCAACAACACACAGACATTCAAAATTAAAGATGTACTGCGCAACTTTTCTGCTTGTCACCATGGAGATGATGCTTGCTTTAAACTTAAGTATTTAACACAACATTAAACATATCCATCCAGCATTTATTCATTACAGGTTTTATTATTTATTGCTCAAAAACACATTGATTCCTTCTGCGAACAGGGACGCCTCTCCACAGATCTGAACTAGAAACGTTACGCAGTGCACCTTTAAAACATGAAGTCGTTCAACTTTTTATTACAGGACAAAGAGCTCAAACTTCAGTCTGATTTCTCAAAGTAGCAGAATCCGTGTGTCATTCGTTCATTCGCTTTTCAAAACAAAACCAAAAATAATAAAAAGGAAAAAAACAAAACAAAAAACTATTTTCTTCATTATTTCTCTCCAAAACCAAAATGACAAAAATGAAAACTGAACCAGAACTAAACCGGTCTCAGTCCTGATCACCCGTCGGTCTATGCAGGCGCACCTCCGGGCCCGTCCCGACACGCAGTCCCGTTTCAGTCCCGGTTTAGTCCCGTTTCAGTCCTGGTTCAGTCCTGGTTTAGTCTTGGTTTAGACCTGGTTTAGTCCTGGTTTAGTCCTGGTTTAGTCCTGGTTTAGACCTGGTTTAGTCCTGGTTTAGTCCTGGTTTAGTCCTGGTTTAGTCCTGGTTTAGTCCTGGTTTAGTCCTGGTTTAGTCTTGGTTTAGACCTGGTTTAGACCTGGTTTAGTCCTGGTTTAGTCCTGGTTTAGTCCTGCATCTCAGTTTAAGTCACGTAAACGGTAAACAGCCATTATCCTTTTTTTTTTTTTTCATTTTTCACTTAAGCACAAAATGAAAAACTGAAAAAAAAAAATCCTTATCTATTTTTTCATTTTGGTTTTGGTAACAGTTTTTAGTTTTTTTTTTAAATTATTTTTGGTTTGATTTTGAAAAACGAATGAACGAATGATGCATGGATTCAGCAGGCGCCACAGTTTTTTTTAGCTACAAATTAGAGACTCAAGCAAAGAAAATAAAATAAAGATAGTTTTTTATATATTTTTTTTTCTTTTTTTTAACGCGTAAAGTAAAAACACACAGCAGCGTCGCTCCTCCACACACACAGACACCCACACGCCACTTAACGTAACGGCCAACGTCAGAAAATATATTTAAACTTTTTTAATCCAGCAGCTCTTTTTTACAAACAGCGGTCGTGTAGTTTTGTATTATTTTAACAGATTCGACTTTTATCTTAAATTAAAGACGGGGCATTTCCGTTTCCGAGGCATCAACTGTAACACGCCACACGTTTATATCTCCATGTTCCTTTGATCGTTTTGAAAATGCTCTATTCGCTCCAAACAACGGATTCACGTCTTAAGTGAAAGAATAAAATCTCAGAACAAACTCGTCTTTAAAGTCCTAGATTCAGAACGTCACTACCAGAGGAGTCAGGTGAGTTCCACAACAGCAGATATTACACCTGAGGTAATGAAGTAAATAATGAAGAAGTCCCGCCCTGTAGGTTTGTGGAACTTCCGGTTAATGGTTTTCTGTGTCAAAATGTGTGTTTCTAAGTGTGTGTGTGTAAATGTGTGTGTAACTGTGTGTGTGTGTGTGTGTGTAAATGTGTGTGTAAATGTGTGTGTATAAGTGTGTGTCGTTTTCTCCAGCAGTTTCATAAATCTGCCCCATCACCAAATTATCAACCAACAAACTCCACAAAGGAGAAATACAGAGGCAAGAGAAAAAAATAAATATATATAAAAAATAGACTTGTCATTTAGGCTCTAATTTCCACGTGTGTATATATATATATATATATATATATATATATATATATATATATATATATATATATATATATATATATATATATATATATATATATATATATTTTTTTTTTTACACTGACAACTCTGTTTTTTTTTTATTGTTGATTTGGCCAATTAAAAAAAACAAAAAACTTCAAAGTGTTTTCCCAGTATATTCGTGTAAATAACAAACTTCAGCATTGGTGAGTGTTTTGTTTTGTCTCAGCCACACCAACGATAAAATAATAATAATAATAATAATAATAATAATAATAATAATAATAATAATAATAATAAAATACCTGTTGGGCACTTTGAGTTGTTGGTGGCAAAAAAAAAAAAAAAAAACTTAGAAAATAGAGCCTCTTTTTTCCCCTCTTGCCTCTCAGGGCTTCCGTAGTTAAACATTCTTCATGAACAATTTATCCACAACTGTCAAGAGAAGAAAGAGCAAAACTTGTGGAGACACTTTTTGAAATATTCCATCCAGTCCTTGTATTTGCAGAGGTAAAAACAGTCTTACCCACTCCACAAAACACCCGAAGAAAAATTGTCCATAGAATAAATTTAGAAGTAAAACCAACCTTGTATTTGAAGGATTTCTGTCTGAGCAGCAGTGAGTTGTTCTTTGTGATAGAAAACTCGGCAGCGGCGGACTGCGCGACGATGCACGGTTGGTTTTGCTTCTAAAATTATTCTATCGACTGAATTATGCTTTCAATTTTCTTCACTTTAATTTCTGTTTTTTCTCTCATATATACAGTCTGTCGCAAGTGAAATTGTAAATGATTACTGTTTTTTTCTTGAAATTCTGTCATTGTTTAAAAGCATTTGGCATTATAAATACTACACTTTATTTCAGCCTAAACCCTTTTGATCACAAAATATGAGATTGTAGTTTATGTTTTGTTTTGTTTTGTTTTGTTTTGTAGTGCTGCAAAATGACTGAATAAACTAAACTAAGTAAAAAATTAAAAAAAAAAAAAAAAGATAAAATGATTCTATGGACACAGTCTGGTGTAGTAATAGATTTTCTTCGAGTGTTTTGTGGAGTGGGTCAGACTGTTTTGACCTCTGCAAATACAAGGACTGGATGTGCCACAAGCAGGTGTCAGACTCTGCCCCAGAGAAAAGTTACACAGTGCAGCTTTAAAATAAGGCCAGGACTGAACGTGTCACTATGTGGTTTGTAAAACGACGTCACACTCAGACAAACCTGGAGCTGAGTTTTGTTTCATTCACACGTTTAACACAAAAAAACCTGCACATTTAACACGAGCTCTTCCCTCAAACTGACACAGACACTGTGTTCCACCTCGTGATGTCATCATGTGTTCACATGAAAACTACCACTTCATGACATCACGAGGTGTTCTCAGGCCGAACAGAGACGCCCAATCCAAAGACGAAACCTCACCGGGTGAACACAGACACAGCAAATATCTGTCTCCTCTTCTTGTCCCTTGGTTTCTCCTCCATGTTCCACACACAATTTTTCTTTGTTTATTTTCCCGCGTGTGACCAGGTTAGTGACGGGCATTAGATGAAATTTTCTTAATCGATCGTCGGAAGAATTAACGATCGATTATCGATTAATTATTAACATTTTTATATTAAAATGATCATCATTATTATTACTATCTGCACTAATTTGCATAAATAAATTCAACTTTACGACATATAAACATAACGACTCTAGATCCACATCAGCTGTTTGACATTATAATGTGTTTAATTCAGTTTTGTTCAAATCTCACAGAAACAAAACTTAAAACCACATCACTAATTTACATAAACTAAGTGAAGATAAAACTCCAGCTCTTGTGTCGCTGATGTGGTTCAACTTGTGTTGGATTAAAAGACATGACTCAGGTGAATACAGGTCAGTGTGACCAGATTTGTGTTTGTCAAAACCAGGACAGCGTACGGGGGGAGGGGGGCGGGGCCTCGTCATCCACATTGAGCGACTCTCACCTGGAAAAACTTTTTCCCACTGGACACAGAAACATATGTGCTGCTTTATCCACTGTGCACATGGACTCACACTTGTCCCAACGCAACGGAAAGTGTGGAATTTCTTCTACAAATCCTGGTTAAATCCACATTTGTGCTTCGGTTCGTTACAGACTGACCCACTGTTTGTGTGTCGCTCCTTCTGATGCAGAGACACATGTACACACCTGTTTGGTCACGACACACAAACATACATTTGGTTTGTCAATTAAAATTAACGTAATCGATGAAATTCTTAATGATCAATTATCGATTAATCATGCCCATCCCTACCAGAAACTATGAAAGTCCGAATATTGCTCCTCCCCCCGCCCGTCCTGAGAAAGCACAGGCTCCGCCCTCCAAACGTGACGTAGACTCTGAGTGAGCCGCCCTTCCTCCACCGTCTCAGGGAGGGAGGGGGAGACAGAAGCACAACTGGACAAACTTGAATCCTGTAATAATAATGTTCGATCAGATGAGGAGGTCGTCATGTGAACGGGCGACACTAAACATCAGGTCGTAGTGACTGAGGCGTCATCGACGTTTTGTTCTCGTGCAGAAGCGTCGAAGACGATTCACTAGAACAAAACGATGCCCTGAGTCTGTTGTTAGTATCAGTGTGATATCGTAGGACGACGTCACGTTTGTCAAACTCAAACAGGTAGAACAAGGAGATGATGCAGATTGAAATGATATGTGGATAATCTTCAAAAATAAACGCTGCAGTTTGTTTTTAGTTCTCTTCTTTTTCTTTGTTTATTTTCCCGTGTGTGACCAGGATGAATCTGATCACATCTTCTGTGTCGTCACTTTTCGGTTCCTGAACGTTCTGATTTTCGAGGTGAACACGTCAGTCGGTTTGAGATTAGGCGCGGGAACCGACACCAGCAGGATTCTGTCAAAACACTAAAGGAGGAGCAGAGCGTTTGGAGCTGTGGAGATGTGGACAGAAGAAAATAAAGATTTACTCAAACACTTGTGGATGAAATAAAACTCAAGTCCAGGTTTGTTTTTGAGGCGGTGACGTCAGGACACAGTTTAAATCTCACACGGGTCAGTTTTGCGTAAACTAGGACGTTTAAAAATGCAGCTGTGTGTTTAAAATGAGATGTTGGCGACTCGTGGAAGGCGGCGTCTCGCTCAGGTTTTCTTCTCCTGTTGCTCCATGAACCACTCACACGGACCAATGTCCAGTTTGAGCTGGTTCAGCACCCAAGGGTCCTTCTCTGCACCCTCGATGAACTCCTCCAGAGAGATCCGACCTGAAACAACACACACACACGTCAGGAACACACACACACGTCAGGAACACACACACACGTCAGACACACACACGTCACACACACACACGTCAGACACACACACACACGTCAGACACACACACACACGTCAGGAACACACACACGTCAGAAACACACACACGTCAGGAACACACACACACACGTCAGGAACACACACACGTCAGAAACACACACACGTCAGGAACACACACACACACGTCAGAACACACACACACACGTCAGACACACACACACACACACGTCAGAAACACACACACACGCACACGTCAGAAACACACACACACGCACACGTCAGAAACACACACACACGTCAGAAACACTTTCTGGAGTTACACTTCAGTTGAGCGTCTGTGACTCGACTCTGTCTTAAAGCTCCTGTCGTCGACTTCCTGTGAACCCTGACCTCCTCGGGGTCACATTGACCCGAAGAAAACATTTTTCTCCTTCCCGCTCTCTTGGGGCGGGTCAATCAGACCCAAAATTTATTTTCAAATAAATTTTCGCCAGGCGAGAAAATAAATTTTTGGGTCTGATTGACCCGCCCCAAGAGAGCGGGAAGGAGAAAAATGTTTTCTTCGGGTCAATGTGACCCCGAGGAGAGTGTGAGGTTAAGACATGTTCTAATGTTTTACATTTATATAATGATCCTTCTGTTTTCTGACCACAGACTGTTTAAAGTGATGGACTAAAGAAGTTTGACCCACACCAGTCAACTCCAGTCAAATGAAGCTCACTCAAGGTTTCCCCAGGTTTGACTAACCCAAATTTAAGACGTTTTTATGACAGGTCGCCCTGTCACTGAGGCGAGCAGTTATAGGGCGAATTTGGAGCTGAGTTCTATAAATAAAAACCCCAGAATCATGCAGAGCAGGTTAATACAAACATTTTAAAATTAAAACGAGGAGCCTGACAGCAGCAGGTCCAGACACACGAGTCACAATATTCCCATGTAAAGTGAACTGGATAAAACTGATGGTTCTTGGACGAGACACTGAACCCGCCTCCCCCCGTGTGAATAAGCGGCACTTTTCAAGAAAAATCTTTTTTACTGCTCATATGATCTAGTTTTGATACTAGTTTGAGTATCGATTATCTGATGTTCGATACTTTTCACTCCCCTGGTGCTGTGATTTTTTTAGTATCACATGTTCTTATATTTGTGGAATCCCACTAAACCAGGACTAAATCAGGACTAAACCAGGACTAAACCAGGACTAAACCAGGACTAAACCAGGTCTAAACGAGGACTAAACCAGGTCTAAACCAGGTCTAAACCAGGACTAAACCAGGACTAAACCAGGTCTAAACCAGGTCTAAACCAGGACTAAACCAGGTTTAAACCAGGTCTAAACCAGGACTAAACCAGGACTAAACCAGGACTAAACCAGGACTAAACCAGGTCTAAACCAGGACTAAACCAGGTTTAAACCAGGACTAAACCAGGTTTAAACCAGGTCTAAACCAGGACTAAACCAGGACTAAACCAGGTCTAAACCAGGTCTTGTTCTGCTGCAGTTCCACATCATTCTAAACACATTCAGGAAATGTTCTGCTCTATCCTCTCAGGGAGACTTTTGGTATCAATTCCAGTTCCGATATTAGTTTTAGTATCGATTAGTATCTGACTTTCGATCTTTTTGACGGTCCTTTGGTGTGGGACGAGCTCCTGCCCGCTGGACCCTTCATGAGGACGAGGAGGAGGAGGAGGAGGAGGAGCAGATTACGGCGGGTCCCAGAGCAGCTCATCCAGGATATTTTCAGAGCTTTGTTTACAAACCCGAGGCTCAGGACTCGGTGTCCCAGGACTCGGTGTCCCAGGACTCGGCTCCTCGTCCTCGTCCTCCTCGTCCACGTACAGAAAGAAACACCACATCTAAACACAAAAACATGAAGCTCAAGTGACGTTTTCATTCATCGCCGCACTTCAAGTCATTGTGAAAAACCTCTACTCCAAATCCATTAAAACCCTGGAGATTCTTGAGCAATGTGACTTTTGGCTCCCTGCCCCCTGCCCTGGCGTTAACCTCCATATCCCTGTCCTGTTTATTTTATTTTATTTTTTGTTTTATTTTATTTTTTTATATATATTTTTTTTAAATATATATGTTTTGTTTATTTTATTTATTTATTTTATTTTTATTTTTTTATTAAAAAAATGTTTAGTCCCTAT